CCAGGACGGCGGGGCCACAACGCCCCCACACACCGCAGGGGCATTGGATGAGGAATGTGGCGCGTCGCGTCCTCTTCCGAAGGTAACATCGCCCATCGGCACGAAACCCTGGATTTGTTAGCGTGCCGGACGCTACACTACGCAATTGCTATAGCAAGCGCCCCCCCCCCGCCTTCATGTTTCCACCGCACTTGGAAACCGCCACCCGCGGCGAAATACTGCAACATCGGAACGCCGAATTGTCGTAAAGAGTTTTTTTTTGCTATCCCCAGGTTCAAACGCCGTGTTCCGTCAGGCCGGGCGTGGCCGCCTTCGTGGACAGGTGCGAGAAAGCGCGGCGTCACGGGATCGTGGACAACATGAAAGACGGCGCGACCGAAACACGCAAAACAAGCACGGAGTCCTTTAGCGGCGAACGAGCGGAAGTGCGAGGGCAGGAAGAACTTCTTGCAGCTGCAACCGCGGTTTGTCCAGATATCCAGACGCCTGCGGCGCGCACCGCCAATGCCAAAGCAGCTGCCCCCCCCCGGTCGTCCATAATCATTATAGTCACCACGGTTTTTCTTTGTCGCGGTGTCAGGGCCACGCGCGCCTAGACGCACGCCTGTTGCTGCCCCCCCCCCGGTCGTCCATAATCATTATAGTCACCACGGTTTTTGTTTGACGCAGTGCCAGGGCAACGCGCGCCTAGACGCACGCCTGTTGCAGTTGCTCCTGCTCATGGTCCTGTCGCCGATCGAATCGATCTCAACTGCTCCTCCGCGCCCTCGCGCCCTGTTTTCGTCGTCGTCATCCTCCTTCCTCCTGCTCCTGCTCCTCCCCTCCTCATCACTCCTCCCTCACCTCCCTCCTCCTCCTCCTCCTCCCTCCCCCCCCCCATCCCTCCCTCACCCCCCCCCCCCCCCGTCCTCTGCTCATCCGAAGCGCGGCCCAGGGGAATCGCGCGAGTGCGTCCTGGTGGATGCGCGCCGAAGCACGACCCAGAGGCCCAGAGGAATAGCCCGAAGCGCCCCAGTGGATACGCGACGAAGCACCCCCAGAGGAATCGCACGAGTGCGTCCCAGCGGCAATACGTTTGCACGACCCAGAAGAATCGCACCGCATCGGGGCCGCGGGGGGATGGGGCGGGAAACGAGCGCCCTGCCACACATCACTTTCCAGTGTGACGCGCATCAAGGTGCCGCGGGACGCGGCGGCGGTTTGTCCAGGAAACTGAAGCGCCCGTTTCCCGCTTGCGCACCCGCAACAACAACCGGCAGCTCTCTCTGAGGAAGGGCAGCGTCTGGCTGCAGGGCCAAGGGGTGACCGCGAAAAACCGCGCGAACAAGAGGGCCAAGAAGACCCGCGCGGGCGGGAGGCCCATCGCCGCCCCCCAGTTGAGCACCAGGCTGAAGCACTGCGACAAGATGAAGTTGTAGGTCGGCGCGACTCGCACTGCTAATGATTGCGTGAAATCCCTTAGACGAGCGCCGGCAGTCAGCTGAAACCCTCCTTTACAGAAGCGGTGGCGGTTTGAATTCCCGCTCGCGCCCGCCTGCGCGCGACAAGTGCCAGGTGGGAATAAATAACACAGTTTTTTCTTACCGCGCCCTTCCCCTCCCCCCCCTCCCTCCCCTCTCTTCCCCCTCCCCTCTTTCCCCTCCCCTCCCTCCCTTTCCCTTCCCTCCCCTCTTCCCCTCCCCGCCCTCCCCCCTTCCTCCTTTCCTTCCCCTCCCCTGCCTTCCCCGTCCTCTTTCCCTTCCCCTCCTTCCCTCCCTCTCCCCCTCCCTCCCTCCTTCCCTTCCCCCTCCCTCCCTCCGCGGGCGCGCGCCGGGGGGCCGCGGGGCCTCGAGGTCCGTTGGGCGGCGCGGTCGCGGACGCCGCCCCGCACTCCGGCGCGCGTCTGGAGGGCGCGTCTCGGGACGGCCCGCAGGTGGCAGAGAGGCGAGCGTTTGAGAGGGGAGGGGAAGGGGGGAGGGACAGGAACGGGGCGGGGAGGGGGCGGGGGGGGAAGAGGGGAGGGGGGCAGGGGGGAGAGGGAGGGGGGAAGAGGGAAGAAAGGGAGAGAAGGAAGGAGAGCAAGGGAGGAGGAGGAGGAGGAGGAGGAGGAGGAGGAGGAGGGGGAGGGGGAGAGGGGGGCCGGAGCCGGAGGAGGAGGGGAGGAGGGGAGAAAAGGGACAGAAGGAAGGAGGAGCGGGAGGGAGGGGGCGACAGAGGGACGACAGAGGAGGGAGGTTATTTAGTGCATCGCAGCCGGCGGGTCGAAAACATAACATCTCGGAGCGCCGCGTGGCGGCCGAAAAAGCTGACCACTAGGGAACGCCGCCACTGGGTGGCGAAAAAATGGTCAACTCGGAGCGCCCGCCCGCGGCGGCCGAAAAACACAGGGGCCATTCTCGGAACGCCGTGCTGGCGGCCGTAAAAAAGGCCACCTACGAGGGCCCCCGCGCTGGCGGGGTCCGAAAAGCGACCATCTCGCTCGGGGCGCCGACACAAAAATTGCCATCTCGGCATCCGCCGCTAAGGAGGGAGAGGAAGGGAGGAGTTTCCCTCGAGGGCCCATGGGCAGAACATCGCCAGCAACGCAACGCAAACTGCACGCAGTTCTGACTCCAAGCGCCGGCGAAGAGAGAGCAAGAACTGCACACAGTTTTGACTCCAAACGCCGGCTAGGAAGGGAGGAGTAAGGAAAAGGAGGAGGGAGGAGGGATAGGGGGAGGAAGGAGGGAGGAGGAGGGAGGAGGGAGGAGGGGGGATCATTTTTACGAGCGCCAACAGGAAAACAATGCAAGCGACGTTGCAGTCATTGCCATGGCTGTGGGGATCAGCGTCGATGCATCGAGCCATTTGGCAAAATGAGCAGTTGCGTCAAACACTGTTGTCTGAGATTAATAACAGCGCCTGTGATTTGCACTTCGAGACCGCATTTCGTGACAACGACTTGCCTGGTAGCGGGCTGTCCCTGCAACAGCATGATTGGAATGTTACTGAATACTTCCTGGGGGCGGCGGGCATGTCGAGAACTGGTTGGAAAAGGGCCAGCGGCGAAAACTTCCACGCGCGAGGTGGGATAAGTTGGGCCGGAATTCTGCCCCTACCCCGAGAAGTCACCCGCTCGCGGAGCTTCCTCGCCCTCGCGCCGCAATCTTGTTCTGGGGCCTTTCGGGGGGCCGCGCCGCAATTCGTGACAATTTCGTTGCGCGCCGCCGCTCTCAGAAGGCCAATCGTTGCGTTTCGGGTGGGCGACTCGCTGAATCCCGCTTGACGGGCCACGAGTCCCCCCAAATCGTCCCCTGGTTGCATATGCAGTTGCCGCAGACATGTGTAATCGATCCCACATCGTACCATATCTTCTCACTCCACATCCCGCGGCGCAAGTTTGAGCAAAGTTTCTGGTCATTCGGCCGCCCAGGGCGGCGACCTCAGAGCGGGGGGGGGAATATCGAATTACCCAACACACACAACGATGGACTGCACAGGCGCGTGCTGCAGTAGTTTCGCGGGGCTGCTAGGCACAAACTTGAAACATACAACAACCTAAACCAGTGCCCTTGTGCACGCGCCCCTGCTTCTGCCGATAAGGAGGGTAGGGGGGGGGGCACGATAGCTTGCTCGGCGCGGCGCCGAGTTGTCAAACCCTTCGCGTGCCGCGGACTCGGCGCGGGCCAGCCTGCAAACGCAGCGCGTTTCACATGTGACGGACTCGGCGCGAACCTGGGGATGCCTTCGTGGGCGGCGGCCCCAGCCGCGTGCAGTAGCAACGGTAATTGGTGGGGCAAAACATGTCGCCTCTTTCGGTTCGAGACGCAACCTGTATTTCCAACTAGCCCAACAAAAAACACCCGCGCGCTTAAAGGCCGAGCTCGGGCTGCATGCGAAGAGGCACGGAGAGGGCTCAAACGCCCTTGGCTCGTACCGCCTACTGCAGGGCAGAGCGGGAAGGAGGATCAAGCGCCACTTGCCCTGGCACCCCAGAGCGAAGGCCGCGTTGCGCGTAATCATACATTCCAATGGCGGGCGCGCCAAGCTGCTAGTTTGACGCCGAAACTATTTGAAACGCGCGCGCGGCCATGTTCAAAACCACCATGAACCATTTTCAACTTCAGCACCGCACGGCCCGCAAGTGGCCTAGAACCATGGGAAAACCATTCTCATCATTCTTAATCTGATCACCGACATGCCCGTGACCCTATCCACCCCACCCTCCCGGGCCACCCTCCCGGGCCCACCCTCCCGGGGCCACTCTCCCGGGCCCACCCTCCCGGGCCCACCCTCCCGGGCCCACCCTCCCGGGCCCACCCTCCCAGGCGCACCCTCCCGTGCCCACCCTATCCCGGGCCACCCTCCCGGGCCACCCTCCCGGGCCCACCCTCCCGGGCCCACCCTCCCGGGCCACCCTCCCGGGGCCCACCCTCCCGGGCCCACCTCCCGGGTCAACCCTCCGGGCCCCACCTTCCCGGCCACCCCTCCCGGGCACCTTCACGGGCCCACCCCCCTCCTGGTACCCACTCATCCCGGGGGCCACCCTCCCGGGATCTTGCAAGGATGGGGGCCCGCCCCACCCTCCAGGGCGCCCGGGCCGCGGCGCCCACCCTCCCGGAGGGCGGCTGGCCACCCTCGTGAGCCCCCACCCTCCCGTAGGCCCACCCTCCCGGGGCCCACCTCCCCGGGCTACCCTCCCGGGCCACCCTCCGGGCCCACCCTCCGGGCACCCCCACCCTCCTGTCCGGAGACCCCCCTCCCGGGCCACCCTCCCGGGCCACCCTCCGGCCACCTCCCGGGCCACCCTCCCGGGCCCACCCTCCCGGGCTCACCCTCCCGGGCCCACCCTCCCGGGCCACCCTCCCGGGCCCACCCTCCCGGGCCCACCCTCCCGGGCCACCCTCCCGAGCCACCCTCCCGGGCCCCGGGCCGCCCTCCCAGGTCCACCACCGGGGACCTACTCGAGCCACCCTCCCGGGCTACCCTCCCGGGCCACACTCACGGGCCACCCTCCCGTGCCCACCCTCCGGGCCACCCTCCTGGGCCACGCCCTCGGCGACCCTCCAGGCCACCTTCCCGGGCCACCCTCCCGGGCCACCTTCCCGGGCCACCCTCCAGGACCACCCTCCCGTGCCCACCCTATCCCGGGCTACCCTCCCGAGCCCACCCTCCCGAGCCACCCTCCCGGGCCACCCTCCCGGGCCACCCTCCCGGGACCCTCCCGGGTTCCACCCTCGGGAACCCTCCCCGGCCACCCTCCCGGGGCCACCCTCCCGGGCCACCTTCCCGGGCCCCACCCTCGGGGACCCTCCCCGGCCACCCTCCCGGGCCACCCTCCCGGGCCACTCTCGCGGCCACCCTCCGGGGCCCACCCTCCGGGGCCACTCTCCCGGGCCACCCTCGCGGCCCTTGGAGGAGAGGGGGGCGGGGGCACCAGACGCCCCGAGAGCCCAAAACAGCCGAAAAGCCGGAGGCCGAACCTCGAACCTGGAACCTCGGTCCTCCTCCCTCGACGACGGCGGCGACGACGGCGGCGGCGGCGTTTCGCGCATTCCGGGGCCGCTCGTCGCCGAGTCCTTGTCAGAACGCTGAACTGGGGGCCCCCTCCAGGCCCCCGAGGCCCGCAACGGCCAGCGACGACGACGACGACGACGACGACGACGACGACGACGACGACGACGACGACGACGACGAAGACGACGACGACGACGACGACGACGACCCCGGCGGCGACGAGGGCCCCCGGTCCGGCCCCGGACCTCCCGGTCCGGACAGCTCGCTGTCCACCTCCTCCCCTTCCACCTCTTGTTCTTTAGCCTGGCGGCCTCTCGCGCAGCAAGCAGGCGTCTGCTCCGCGGGATCCAAATCGAATCGCGAACTGGATCGTCGCCCGCTCTGCACCGGATGGCAATCGAATCGCTCGGCAACCGAATCGAATCGCGAACGGGATCGTGGCAGGGGGCCTCCAACATCGAATCGGCATTCGCGGCGATGCGACTCGCCGAATCGCGAGCCGGATCGTCGCCCGCTCTGCGCCGGATCGCAACATTGCATCGCTCGGCAACCGAATGGAATCGCGAACCGGATCGTGGCAGGGGGCCTCCAGCATCGAATCGGCACTCGCGGCGAGGCGACTCGCCGAATCGAACCGACCCGGATCGAATCTCGTGCGGACCTCTGTTGCCGCCCAGGCGCAGCTCCTGCAGGCCGGGCAGGGAGGGCAGCGCCCCCGCCAGGGCCCGCGCGCCCTCGTCGCCGATGCTGTTGCCGCGCAGGTCCAGCCGCTGCAGGCCGGGCAGGGAGGGCAGCGCCCCCGCCAGGGCCCGCGCGCCCTCGGCGCCGATGCTGTTGTCGCCCAGGTTCAGCTTCTGCAGGCTGGGCAGGGAGGGCAGCTCCCCCGCCAGGGGCCCGCGCGCCCTGTCGCCGATTGCGCGTTGTCGCCAAGCCACAGCTCCTGCGGTCGGCAGGGGAGGGCAGTCGCCCAGCCCCCGTCGGGAAATCGTAATTCGCATCGCCTGGAACGGACGCTTGCGAAACCGCAGGCGAATCGAAACGGGGAACCGGATCGCGACCTCGCGGAATCGAAACGCGGGACCGGATCTCGCGACCCTGTCGAATCGAATCGCGAGCCGGATCGTCGCCCGCTCTGCGCCGGATCGCAACATTGCATCGCTCGGCAACCGAATGGAATCGCGAACCGGATAGTAGCAGGGGGCCTCCAGCATCGAATCGGCATTCGCGGCGAGGCGATTCGCCGAATCGAACCGACCCGGATCGAATCTCGTGCGGACCTCTGTTGCCGCCCAGCCACAGCTCCTGCAGGCCGGGCAGGGAGGGCAGCGCCCCCGCCAGGGCCCGCGCGCCCTCGGCGCCGATGCGGTTGTTGAACAGGTTCAGCTTCTGCAGGCTGGGCAGGGAGGGCAGCGCCCCCGCCAGGGCCCGCGCGCCCTCGTCGCCGATGCTGTTGTTGAACAGGTTCAGCTCCTGCAGGCCGGGCAGGGGAGGGCAGCGCGCCCCCGTCGGGAAATCGTAATCGCATCGCCTGGAACCGGATCGCTGCGAACCGCAGGCGAATCGAACCGGGAACCGGATCGCGACCTCGCGGAATCGAACCGCGGACCGGATCGCGACCCTGTCGAATCGAATCGCGAGCCGGATCGTCGCCCGCTCTGCGCCGGATCGCAACATTGCATCGCTCGGCAACCGAATGGAATCGCGAACCGGATCGTGGCAGGGGGCCTCCAGCATCGAATCGGCATTCGCGGCGAGGCGATTCGCCGAATCGAACCGACCCGGATCGAATCTCGTGCGGACCTCTGTTGCCGCCCAGGCGCAGCTCCTGCAGGCCGGGCAGGGAGGGCAGCGCCCCCGCCAGGGCCCGCGCGCCCTCGTCGCCGATGCGGTTGTCGCCCAGGCGCAGCTCCTGCAGGCCGGGCAGGGAGGGCAGCGCCCCCGCCAGGGCCCGCGCGCCCTCGTCGCCGATGCGGTTGCCGCCCAGGCGCAGCTCCTGCAGGCCGGGCAGGGGAGGGCAGCGCGCCCCCGTCGGGAAATCGTAATCGCATCGCCTGGAACCGGATCGCTGCGAACCGCAGGCGAATCGAACCGGGAACCGGATCGCGACCTCGCGGAATCGAACCGCGGACCGGATCGCGACCCTGCAGTCGAATCGAATCGCGAGCCGGATCGCGCGACGGGATCGCGGCCCCCGGACCCCCCCGGCGTGGGCACTCCCTTTCGTGGCCGTCCTCCCTCCATCCCTCCTTCCCCCTCTCTCCCTCCCCCTCCCTCCTCCTCCTCGGGACCCTCGGAGACCCTCCCGAACCCACCCCCCGGGCCACCCTCCCGGGCCCACCCTCGGGAACCCTCCCGGGCCCACCCTCCCGGGCCCCCCTGGAACCCCCTCCCGGGCCACCATCCCGGGCCCACCCTCCCGCGGGCCACCCTCCCGGGCCACCCGCCCGAGTCCCCCGAACCCTCACGGGTCACCCTCCCGGGCCATCCTCCCGGGCCCACCCTCCCGGGCCACCCTCCCGAGCCACGCTCCTGGGCCACCCTCCCCTTCCCTCCTCCTCCTCCTCTCGTTGCGCTTGCGCGGGCTCGCCCTCGGGGACCCTCGGGGGCCCTCCCGGGCCACCCTCCCGGGTTCCCCTCCGCCCTCGAGGACCCTCCCGGGCCACCCTCCCGGGCCACCCTCCCGGGCCCCACCGGGCCACCCTCCCGGGCCCACCCTCCCGGGCCCACCTTCCCGGGCCACCTTCCCGGGCCCACCCTCCCGGGCCCACCCTCCCGGGCCCACCCTCCTGGGCCACCTTCCCAGGCCACCCTCCCGGGCCTCTCCCGGGCCCACCCTCCGGGGCCACCCTCCCGGGCCCACCCTCCCAGGCCACCCTCCCGGGCCACCCTCCCGGGCCACCCTCCCGGGCCCCACCTCCCGGGCCACCCTCCCGGGCTACCCTCCCGGGCCACCCTCCCGGGCCACCCTCCCGGGCCACCCTCCCGGGCCCACCCTCCCGGGCCACCCACCCGGGCCACCCTCCCGGGCCACCCTCCCGGGCCACCCTCCCGGGCCCACTTGGAAGCATCTTGGTTTACGTTAACTTAGTTACTTACTAAGTTGTTACAAGCATACGTTAAACATGTATAAGCACAACATCAACCACTAGAAGTTTTCATAACCTGTTACCGCATATACCACCCTTCGGGTGATAAGGACGCGAGGGGGGGGAGGGACCACCGTCGCACTCGATCGATCTCACTATCGATCTCATTATCGATCTCGCTATCGATTCGATCAATCTCACAATCGATCTGGCTATCGATCTCACACTCGATCTCACTAACGAAATAGCTATCGATATCACAATCGATCTCACCAGAGATCTGGCAATCGATCTGGCTATCGATCTCGCGATCGATCTCACATTCGGTCTCACGATCGATCTCACTTCCGAAATCACGATCGATCTCATTCGATCGATCTCACAATCGATTTCACATTCGATCTCACTATCGATCTCACTATCGATATCACAATCGAGCTCACAATCGATCTCACAATCGATCTGACTATCGATGTCACTGTCGAACTCACTACCGAAGACATGATCGACCTCTCGTTCGATCTCACTATCGATCTCACTATCGACATGACAATCAATATCACAATCGATCTCACATTCGGTATCACTATCGATCTCGCTATTGAACTCACTATCGATCTCACGATCGATCTCACACTGGGTCTCACTATCGACCTCACTATCGATATCACAATCGATCTCACAATCGATCTCACATTCGGTCTCACTATCGATCTCACTACCGAACTCACCATCATCACCACCATCATCGTCACCATCATCATCATCGTTGTCAACATCATCATCATCGCCATCATCATCATCATCATCATCATCATCATCATCAGCATCATCATCATCATCATCATCATCATCATCATCATCATCATCATCACCGACGGGACACCGACGGGACACCGGCGGGACACCGCGAGGCCCCGGCCGCCCGGAAGGGAATCATTTGGTCCAGCCGCGCCTCAGCCACGCGGGACACCAGCGGGACACCGGCGGGACATCGCGGGGCCCCGGCCGCCCGGAAGGGAATCATTTGGTCCGGCCGCGCCTCAGCCACAGGAGACTTTCTCTCGCCCGCCCACGCAGCTTCGCCTCGCCCGCGCGCACGGCACGCACGGACACGAAACCGAGATCGATTTCCCGGTAGGGGGGCTCTCCCTTCCACTTCGATCTCACACCCCCACCTCCGATCACAATCGATCTCGCATTCAGCCTCACTATCGATCTCTCTATCGAACTCACTTTCGATCTCATTATCGATCTCACTATCGATCTCACAACCGAACTCACAACCGATCCCACATTCGGTCTCATCATCGATCTCACTACCGAAATCACTATCGATCTCATTACTGATAGTGATCTCACTACTAACTCAATCGATCGATCTCACAATCGATCTGACGATCGATCTCACAATAGATTCCACAATCGATCTCACATTCGGTATCACTATCGATCTCACTATCGATATCACAACCGATCTCACAATCGATGTCCCATTCGGTTTCACAATTGATTTCACAATCGATCTCATTATCGGTCTCACATTCGGTCTCACAATCGATCTCACAATCGATCTCACAAGCGATCTGACATTCGATCTCACGTTCGATCTCACAATCGATATCACTACCGATCTCACTATCGACCATCAAAATAAAACATCAACATCGTCATCATCATCACCATCATCATCATCATCAATATCCTCATCATAATAGGGACACCGACGGGGCACCGGCGGGACACCGCGAGGCCCCCGGCCGCCCGGAAGGGAGTCATTTGGTCCGGCCGCGCCTCGGCCACACGGGACACCAGCGGGACACCGGCGGGACACCGCGGGCCCCCGGCCGCCCGGAAGGGAGTCATTTGGTCCGGCCGCGCCTCAGCCACAGGAGACTTTCTCTCGCCCGCCCACGCAGCTTCGCCTCGCCCGCGCGCACGGCACGCACGAACACGAAATCGAAATCGATTTCCCGGTAAAGGGGGCTCTCCGTTCCACTTCGATCTCACACCCCCTCACCTCCGATAGCGCACGCATAAATACTTAACACAGCCAGCTAACGTTTAGGGTGATTTACGGCTCGTCAAGATACTGTAGGTGTGTCTTAACATCGCTACTAAGAGTTACGGTTGTTTTAGTAAGTATGCGCCTAACGCGAGCTAACCAAGCTAAGCCATGTTAACTCATGTTAAACCGTTGAGCTAACCCAAGTTAAAGTTTAAGACAACTCAGCCAACGTTAGCTAACGCGTCATAAGGACAATCTAAAGTTTAATATGACTTAGCATGATTAAACACAGTTTAACTTAGTTTTAACATGTTTTAACATACGCTAACATGATTTAGCTAACACTTAACATGAGTTAACATGAGTTAGATAACCCTTTAACATATTTAAAGATAGTTTAGCTAAGCCTTTGTAAGATCAGCTGTCATTGTTTTACGCATTGGTGTTGTGTATAATTGTCAGGTCATGGTATGCTACAGAAGCGGTTGTCTCATGTGTTTTCCTGTTGGTTGCCTACTCGTGTTGTTCCGCATGTATGTTTTTGCGTTTGCGTGTGATTGGTTCGATGCATTTTGTTTTGATTTTTTTCTGCGGGTTGACTTGTGTTGGTTCGAACACGATGTGGGTCCGCAGTGGTTTCTCGTGAAATCGGAGCGGTCTCTAAGTTGAAGCCGCTGAGTTTGCCATGTAGGTTTGCATGTTGTGCTTCGACCATGATGTCTTACATTCATTGTTTCCCCATCTGTTTTGCATGCGATCTAAGGGGGATCACGCGCTACATGTATTGTTTTTCTTTTTCTGCATGTGGTATTGCGACGCTCGTGTGCCGCAAAATGGTATTCAGATTATGGCGCGTTAACAGTCTAAAATGTTTTTTTTTTTTTTTGTTGTTTCCTCTCTCTCTCTCTCTCTCTCTATATATATATATATATATATATATATTCGAGCGTTCTTGAGACCGTGGTGAGTTGCAATTATGGCTTTCTCGCGTGTTTTCTTCAGTGTGTTTCAAGCGCGCTGCATGCGGCTTTGTGACCTTTTGCTTTGCACGCGGCGTCCCGACCATGATGTGTTACATAATGTTATCGTATTTCGGGTGGGAAGCTTGACCGGTGCATGCGTTGTCATTGGTTGTGCGTGCGGTGGTGCGATCATGATGTTATGCACGGTTCGTTTTTTCGTTGCGAGGTTGCCTCCCCCGATCAAGATCTTATCGGGTTCGCGGGTGGAGATTCAATCGCGGGTTAGCGGGTGGTGCGGTTTGAGATGCACACGCCCTTGTTTTTTTCATGTGTTCGTCGCTGTTGTGTTGTGGTCATGCGTGTCGTGATGCGCCATTGAATTGGGCGTCCTGCGAGCTGCAGCCTCGCCGGTGCAAGCCCGCCCCCCGAGCTGCAGCCTCGGGCCCCTTTCGGCTGGGAGCGATGTCCGCTCCGCCGATTGCACCTCCAGGCGCAGCCGCGCGGGCGCCGCCGCCCACCTCCAAGTCGGCGTTCGTCGCCGCGCATGGCGGCTCGGAGGTCGTCGCCAAGGCGAGCGGTTTTCCACCGCCCCCCTCCGCGCGGCGCGCGGGGGTGCATCCCATTGAGGTCGCGGAGCTGCCGCCGACCGCGCCCGCCGCGAAGCGGATGCGCCGCGGCGCCGACTACGCGGCGGAGAGGGCGGCAGCGACGCGCCCGCAGATGCGGCACGCGACGAGCGACGACGAGAAGGAGGCTGGTCAGCTGACGCCGCGCAGGTCGCGGTGGGCGGACGAGCCGTGGTTCCCGCTCGTAATTCCAGTGCGCTGGGAGTACGAGTGCTCCCTCGCGCACGCGCGGCAGGCGTCGTCGTCGTCGTCGTCGTCGCCGTCGTCGCCGTCGTCGCCGTAGTCGAGGCGCGGGTGTTCACGAAGCTCGCGTTCGAGCGGTTCGCGCATATATGCGCGAGGCGGGCCATGGCGAGGCCGTCGAGCGGGTCGTGGCGGCCAACGATGAGAAGTGGCAGGAATGGGTCGGCAAGGCGAGACGTCGTCGCCGTCGTCGTCGCCACCGTCGTCGTCGTCGCCGCAGGTACAATTGCACCACTTGTCCGATTGGCCGGTCGGGTTGCGCCGGCGCGAGGACCGTGTGTAGACGCGGCGTCGCGAAGAGGCGCCCGCGGCGATCGGTTCGGTTTTTAAAAAAGAGGGACGAGGAGGATGGGGGGCCGAGAGGGTCATGAGGAGGAGGGGGGCGGTGACGATGATGATGAGGAGGAGGAGGAGGAGGAGGAGGGGGCGGGGGGGGGGCTGATGATGACGAGGAGGAGGACGAGGAGGAGGACGGC